GTGTCGTGAGCTACTCTTCAGTTACTTTTCATTTAAACCGAGTAAACAGTACTCGATTTAAATGAATAGAATTTTGACTTAAACAAACATGTTAATGGTAAATAAATTTGCCGCCTAATAAATTTTGTCAATTTTCAGATTTCTTCTCAATGTATTTCTCAGTTACAAAATTCCGTAGTAACTTTTACTGTAGAATTCTCTCTATATAAATTATGCAGCACATAGAAACACTTCGCGAACCAAGCCTCGACGACACGACTCGGCATGACTCAGAGTGCGCTCCCGAAATTTCGCTCGAGAAATTCGACCGCGGCGGGGTGTTCCTCCAAGTATTCCCCGAACTTCAGGGACACCTTGTACATCGGGGATAAAAGCGACCCGTTCACCGTCTGTCTCGGAGCGTATCGCGTTCGCCACGCGGCCGTGGTGTTCGGGCCCGGTTTTCGGGCCCCCTGCGGAACCATCTGCCGCCTTTTAAATACAGAACGGCCCAGAAGTCGTGCACTTTCTCTCGGTTTGCGGAGTTCTTTGTCGAGCTCGGGCGCGCGTTTCCGGCGATCGGCCCAATTTTCGCGGCCGCTTCCGCGACCGGGCGCGCCGCGACATTTCCGCAACGTTTGTCGGGTTCGAGAATTCGCGCGAAATCCGCGGCCGCGAGTTACAAACGATCACGCGCGCTGTTAAAATCCGCGTTAATGCCGTTTAAAGTGTCCGCTGAATAGAATCTACTGCGAAATGAAATATTCTGACTAGAGAGAATATCTCTCTCTCTCTCTCTCTCTCTCTCTCTCTCTCTCTCTCTCTCTCTCTCTCGCGAGGCAAACTATTTTATTTGATCGTGCACTTCGGCGAAGCCGCGATTCTGTTTTTCATTTTGTTTGCGTAAGAGGTCCCAGCCGATGAAATAAAAACGACTCTCGATATCGGCCGCGCGTAAAGCTGTTATTTCGACTTTTATGCGCTTTCCCGAATACACTTGCCCCGAAGACCGGTGTCGCGTAACAGAATGTTACGCGCGGCTTTAAATTTTAACGGCAGATCCCGCCACACACACACAAATGAATAATAAGAGCGAGGGATTTATTCTGACAATGGCCTCGCTCGCCTTTCTTTTTTTTTTTCTTCCTTTTTTCACCGATTTGAGAAAACTGCAGTGAGGAACGAACATAGAAAGAGAATCATTGTGCACGGCACACGACAAAGGCGCTGTATTATCGCTCGCGATAACCGTCGCGGTTTACGAAAGATCGCGAACAATTGTTCGCTGTGCCCGACGAACGAAAAAGGCGTCCGCGACGGCGATACTTTGAAAAGTCTGACTAGCAGGTGAATCACGCGCGCGCGACTTCGTCGCGCGTTCGACGACCCCGCTCCGTTCTTCTCACAAAGAGCTCTCTCAAAAATAGGAGGTCCTCGACGAGATGACGCACGAAGAAGCGGCAACCCTATTTAATCAAGACCCAAGTCGTTGGCTGCGCGTTACCCGCCGCTAAACCGATCTAGAGAACTCGTAGGGAAATCTCGCGACATATTCGCGGAAGCGTGGCCGGGAAAGATCCGTGGAAATGCTCGGGAAGGAACACAACGCAGAGTGAAATGCTCGATTATTGACACCCGCGACACTTGTTCATCCTCGATCAAGTTAACACTCCAGACAAAGCTGGTTTTTCTTGCAACCAGCGACGGCTGCTCGTAGTTTTAGTTGTCAAGTTCTCTGTCGGAATCATAAAGCGCAGGCAAGAAGTTTAACTACAATAACGGCCACAAGAAATACCACACACAGAAAGGTACACACTACATTCAAGTGAATGTTACTTGTTTCTAGGTATTTCATAAGTTTACAAATCCATGTATCTGGCATATAATTTTCCATCATAAACACCATGTTTATTCAAAACACAAATGTGTACATTATGAATCCTAACAAGTTTAGCATTCCAATCGATAATATTAAATGCTAAATGCTTTAAATACGGTCTACTTACTGCACAGAATCGAGCTAGCATTTTCCTCGATAAACTTTTACGATATTCTTGTGGAGAGAATAAATTCTTTTTTTTTGAGTACATGATGTGTGGATGCACCTTACTCAAATTTGACAAGTCCACTATAAGCATCAAATTTATTCAAAATACATTCTGAGTCCTAGTGAATTTAACATTTCATTCAAGAATGTTAGATTAAAATTCATGGATAAGATAATAAGTTTTATCATATTCTTGTAAAGAGAATAAATTTTTTTAATACATCATGATAAAGTTTTCTCAAATTTATAATGAGTATATTTTAGAACTGTTATCAAGGAAACATTCTTTATTGAACATAACCATTATTTATGCTAACCATTATTTATTAATCAACTGTTGGCATCGAGATGTAACGTTTTCCCTGCAGTTATTGCTCACAGAAATTATGCAAAATCTGCGCCCATTTACTGGACGAAAACTGAGCAATAGATGCACCACGAAACTATTCAATCGATTAACAAGCAAATTTACCGCTCATGGAATGGGTAGTTTTGCCCTAAAACTGATGTAGACAAAACTGTACCGAATTCTTTTGTCCATTTCCTGCACAGTTTTGACACAACTAATCAGAATGCAGTAATACTACCACAGTAACCGGCTGGGTGTCTGCGAAAACCGCACACATTTCTACGATTTGGAATCCGCGAGCCCAAATTACGGACACTTCTTACGGACTTCTCGAAAGATCATCGTCATCGTGGAGACACGACTCGCGCGCGAGGCTACAACATCGATCACTAACGACACCGTCCCGGCGATTGACGTTACGTCACTGCGCGCGCGAGGCGTTCGGAATTAGAATATATTTCGCGCGCGCAAAAATACCGCGAGGTAATCGGCCGGCGGTTTACGGGACACACACCGCATCCGCTTTTATCGGCGGCTCGTCGTTTCCCACCGAAGGTGGACGTGCTTCGTTTTGGCAATAACCCCTTATTAAACTTCCGCCGCGCCGAGTGTGTGTGTGTGTGTGCGCGCGCGCGGGCGCGCACAGAAGCTCGCCGGGATTTTGAATGAATAAACATTGTCAAAACCGCGAGAGTGGCCCCCGGGGGTCGCGTTCCTCCCCCTCCCGGCTCCCTCCCTTCCCGGCTCTCTGGCCGGCGCATCATTTCACGGTCGTTCCGCTCCGAAATTCGTGACTTCACTTCCGCTTATACTCGACGGCGGTAGCGGCGGGTGCGTTGACCCTTTTCGAAGGTCGTCGTACCTTTCTACGTTCGTGACTCGTTCGTTCGTCGGATCGACCTTAATCTCTCGCCGGTTCGCGACGGCTCGTTCACCTCTTTTTTCCCCCTCTAGTCTCTCCCCTTCCCCCCTCCCCCTCTTTCTCTCTGTCTCGCTCGCGCGATCCGACCACCAGTCAGAGGAAGAAGTCCGATGATGTAATCAACGTCTTCGAGCGTCAATTTTCGAGAGATGAACCGAGATGAAAATAATTTCCTCGCCGGGGAAATCGTCGGATGTTTCGCCTGGCGGCTCGGCGGGGATGAAGTTTTCGCTGAAGTTTTCACTGATCTTTCATTAACGGGAATGTCAGTCGCGTGTTGTTCGCTTCCGAGCAATATAACGGATAGTCGGGTGTCCCCGCTTCCTCACCTCCGCGGCTCGAGTCGGTCCGAATCGAGAGATACGGAAGTTCCCAGCCTCGGTCGGTGGCTGGGAACACGCACGAATTCCCGGGATTCGAAGAGGAATCAACACTCGAGATAATGGAGCCCTTTTTGACCATCTCGCGCGAGCGGGTCGATTTAGCGCGGGCTGCAACGAAGCTAATAACCTCGGTCTGATTAATGCGCCTCATTAGCGCACGACTTCCCACCTATCCTAGCTGAATCGATCACGCGGTCCGTCTGAATGTATAGTTTAATATTTCTAGGGACACATGTTACGTGTGTGTAATATGTGCTTCGATCGCTATTTCTCCGCGCGCTCTCGTATCGTGGATCGAAAAGTCATTTTCCTCCCCCTACTGTACTTCGCCCTCCCTGCCCCCTCCTCAAAAAACTGGAATTACTTTATCTGTCTGGGCAGACGATATGGGCGATGACCGAAAATGGGATTTCGGTCGCGTCGAAATCTCTCTCTCTCCCCCTCCCCCTCTCTCTCTCTCTCTATCTCTATCTCTCTCTCTCTCTCTCTCTCTCTCTGGCCCCGACGTTCCCGTGAATAGGAATCGTCGGTTTGCGGTAACGACAACTCACTCGACAATGAAATCGAACCCGCCGTAAACGGACTAATTGCAGGGATAATAATTATTCCCGGAGCTGGTCGAGGTCTGCGGGAAGCTTGCGGGGTTCCAGAGGCAACGGGGAGGGATAGAGTTAGGTTGTCGTCTGCTCGTATTTCCAGGGTTATCATGAACGCACGAGCCCCCGGACATTATTTAGCCGATCACTCGGATATCTAACCCCAACCCCCTCTTCTCCTCCCTTGCCCGTTGCTCGTGATTGCGGCGAAATTAAAATCGAGATCGCCCTCTCCCTTCTTAACGAGACCTCGATCCCTATTTATAATTACAACTCAAGACGAGATTGCAAGTGAGATTGTTTGAGTCCCTTGACGTGGTACTCTCTGTTCCTTTCTGAGTGCGCTTGAGAAAACTTTGCTCGCGTGTTTTAAGATAAAAGTACTAATGCACCTAATCTGCACATTATTATCGTTTTGGTCTTAAAATATAAATATTTAAACTTTCAACACACATAAGAAATAAAAAAAAATATATCGAGTATATACATATATTTTATGTTAAGAAAGTTTAAGTTTATTTAAATTAAGTTTAGTTGTTTAAGTTTAGGTTTATTTAAATACCAAAATAATAAGAACGTCCAGGATTAGATTACGTCCGAGAACTTTTTAGTACTTTGGTACTTCCACGTAGGATATCATTTACGTAACGTGCAAATATCGCGATTGATGGCGGTCATTATTTACAAGATTATTGATCTGAATTTGCTTTCTGTGACTTTTCAGGGCCGTCACGGATCCGAGGGATGGCAGGAGAGTAGCCTTAAAAAAACTGCCGAACGTCTTTCAAAGTCTCGTGAGCAGCAAGCGAGTCTTCAGGGAGCTGAAGATGCTCTGTTTCTTCAAACACGATAACGTGAGTGATATCATTGTCGCTACATCCTACATAACGTAGATAACAAGTAAACAAGGTATTTTTAATTTGAACGATCGAACAGAAAATTGCGCGAAATTAGTTTTTGTCACGAAATTTTACATATACTCATTAATCTTCGTTAGGTTATCGAATATTTGCTTATTGTACGTGCTTCATCTTGTTGAGTAAGTGACAACGATTGAGACTAAGAAGAAGGATTAAATACGAGTGCCATATGAAGCACTTATGACGGACGTGATCTTTACAAATCGACTGATAAAGTTGCTGCCGAATTTACGTGCTCCTGTCTATCTGGGCAAATGACTCGAAAACCCAACGCAAAAAAAACGACAATAAATGATCATTTGCAGCATCTAAACAGAACAATAGCTCGTGCTGAATCTCGAGATTCTCCGTTGCTTGTGGATCGAATTTTCTATCGACGGAACGTCAAAATAACACGGAGTCAAAATTCCGACTCGTAATGGCGCGGTTCGATCGTTCTCATTGAAAACACCCGGTGTATCGTCGCGCGTTGGACACTCGGAACTCGATACACCCGATAGATCCTTAAAGAGTCGCGCGCAGTGGACGTATATATCGTAAGTTCCCGCGTTTTATTTCCCCGAGGAAACGACGCGCTCTTCTCTCCCGCACGAAGTAGAGGGGGATCGCGTTCTCCCTCTCCTTCTCGTTCGATCGAAGGACGAGGCCCTCAATCTTCCCCCGTCTCTTTTTATTCGCAGGTCCTCTCCGCGCTGGACATCCTGCAACCGCCGCATCTGGACTTCTTCCAGGAGATGTATCCTTTTCTAAACACCGACACGAACGAGGTTCGCCTCGCGAGGCGAGATCTCCCGATACTTCGCGACTGACATTGCGCGCAGGTGAATCTTCTCCTATCGGCGATCGTGCAATTTCCCTCAAGAATCCGCGCAATTTTTTGGATCACCTCGCGCGAATCCAACGTACGGCAGTCATTATGAGATAATTTTCCGGTCGACGGCGAGCACGTATAGCAGGAAGTCGTTGCGGTAGCCAGGACGAGGCTCCCGCGGGAGACTGCTCGTCGTCGTGCTCGTCGTCTCCCGGCGCCATCCGGAGTGGCTGCATGATCAATCGATCGATCGATCGATCGGTCGGCCGATCAATCGGCGGGTCCTTAAGCGAACGGGATCGCTCGCGGAGAGTTAATCTCGATCGAGGCAGCGCGATAAATCAGCCCTCCCTCTTACGTTTCCCTTTCGCTCGCTGCGCCCTTCAGCGCCCCCTTTCCGGCCCTTATTCGCGCTCTGTCGCACCTCGGGCCCCGCGCCGAGACTCACGCGAGTCCCCCTTTGTAACCACGTAAATCATCATTAGTAATCTCGGCTATTATGCCCCGCGGTTTTCCCCATGTCTCTTCACGCTTTCTCTCTCTCTCTCTCCTCCCTCCCTCTCGCTTTCTTCCCTCTTCCTTTCGTCTCGTTTTAGACAGAGGATCACAATGTAACCCAGATGGACCTCGTGATTGTCACAACGTGAGACAATCGATGATGGGAGAGCTTTACCATTTTCTTACATTTATGTGAAGTAAATGTATCGAACATTATTCAATTCACGTCACACAATAATGCAAATTTCTTGTTGTATTTATGCAGCAACAAATTTTGCCGAAAGTTTCACTCTGACTTTCGCATTTAACGTGACATATCGTTTGGGGCAAATTTCGGTCATTTTTTTATCTTTCATGTTTCCATTCGTTGTTCTATGTGATAAATATTATTATCAGTAAGGTTAAAATACTAATGCCTGGACACGTACCTAGCATGTATCTAATTCTGGACATGCTTATTATTTTAGTTTTAAAATATTGAAATATTCAAACTTTCAATATAGAATATATATATATATATATATATATATATATATATATATATATATATACAAATATTTTATATTTGAAGATTAAAAATTCATATTTAAAGTTAATATATTCGTATTTAAAAAATCAAAACAACAAGAATGTTCAGAATTAGGTACATATTTGGTACGTGTCTAGATATTGGTACTTTTACTTTACCTGATCATGAGGAGCTCATTGCTGAATTTTACGATTTAATATACGAGATGCAACCCTTACAACTCGCGCTTAATCAAGTTGCCACTAAATATACATACACCTGTCTATTTTAATACTTTCATCTTCTTCGATAGACTGATCGTAAACTTTGCACAGCAAATGAACGCGGATGAACGAAATAATTAGAAATGAATTGATCAGTCAACTGGCTGGATATATCGGTATGGCGTCCAGATGCAAGAAACAAACGGATGGATAACCGAGTAACCGGCCGGATAAATCCATGAATAAGCAAACGGGTAAACAAGCCAATGAACAGTACCATAAATCCATCAATAAGCGGACAAACAAATGAAGAAGTTAATAAACAAAGCTATGCGACCGCGGCGCGTAGATCGATAAATTTTCTCGCAGTTCGCACGGGCGACATTAATTGCACCGGCAAATAAATAATCGCCAGCAAATTGCGCGGCCGCGGAAAATCCATCGATGGACCGCCACCACCAGCGGACTTTTCACTGCCCCTCTCTATCTCTCTCTCTCTTTTTCCCTCCTGACCCCGCGATTTAATTCCGCGAACACCCGCCGCGGCTCGATCGATTCTAATTTCATCCGCATGAAAAATTCAGCGCGGCCGCCGAAACTTGGGCGCACCCAGCGCGGTCGCCTAATTCCTAATTAAGGAGCCCCTCGATTAGGTCGCGCAACTCGCGCAGAAATCGCCGACCACAGCGTGCAGGTAGGCAACGAAGCCGTGGGGAACAGGGAGGAAGGGAGGAGATGTTGCAACGCTACGGATGGGGGTTGTTACACGGGCTATGTTGCCAACTAATTGCCGCAGTTATCGCGTTCGCATCGCGATCTCGTCAGCGTGTGTGCGCATCGCGCGCATCGTTATCAATTATATTTCTTCGTTATATTTCGTACATGCGCTTCCCGTCGTCCGCACGGCCGGGCAAGCGCGGCCTCCTCCACCTCCTCAATTGATTCCAATTTATAGAGCGCGTAATAGATGAGACGAACTCGATAGCGCCGCGCAAACACAAACGTGCGCGTCCCTCACGTGCACGAGAGCGAACCGCGCGGGAGGTGGGCGGTGGGTGGGATTACGTAATACACGCGGTTTGTGTTTAGCGGCACGTTAGCTGCAGGCGCGTAATTACGGCACACAGAGCGTTAGTAATTTTTAATTGTTTATCGAGGCAATAGTTCCGGGTTATAGTTCCGCTCGATCAAACGCTACAGTCTCTCCGTGGTGGTGGCGGAGATCCCGCAGTCTCCATCCCCGGGACGCACGGACGGACGGACGGACGGACGGACCGACGGGCACACCATGAATACTGCACCATGGTGCTCGGGATGAGCTTGCTCGATGGTAATCACGTGGATTATTAATGCGCACGCCGCAGCGCCATTGATACGTCGATAGTGCACCATTAGCGGCTGCGGCGGCCGCCTCCGCCACCACCTCCGCCGTCGTCGCCAACTGTGCACCCATGCCGTCGTCCATCGTCGCTCGCACACAATGTCGCATGTTACCAGATAACCATAACTTCCTCGCAACCATCGCCGTGCCGTCGCATCTGCCGATACGACGCCGGCGTCGACGAAGCCGCGCGCTCGCGATTGTCGTCCTCGACTCTCAAGCCGAGACGTCAAGGAGAGCTGGTCAGGCAAAATCAGTTCGTCAAGAGTTCGTTGAAACTTGCACCACATATAAATATCAGGTAATATCTGTTTCATTTAGCTGAACTGCCTCAACTGGCGCAATAAGTTGGAGTGAAACAAAATATATTTAGGTCCGTTCTTCTCCCCTGCACTTCTGCACCAGTGTCATAAGTTAAAAGTATACTCTCTTTCACTCTATCTTATTGCATTAGTGCAGCGATGCAGAGAAGAGGAACAAACCCTTTGTCTCACTCTAACTTATTGCACCAGTTCAGCTGAAAAGAACAGACCCATTGTCTGACTGCTCGTGCAATTAGAAAGACATAGACCACTCGAGAATTGAGATATTTGAGACTGAAGTTAGCACTTTTTACACGTGTCTCCCGGGGTTCGCGAGCTGTTTTTAATTTCTACTTTTAATTTCTTGTAAACTAAAATTAGGATTTTAATGAGAAACTTCCATGATATTAAAGGCTAATATACCGGATATTGTACCCAAATTTCAAAATTATTGACGTTATATTTAAAAATACAGCAATGGGAAGTTCATATAATTTATATATAGTAATACTTGAGATATATAGGGTGTTCCAGACTCTCCTCCGCAATCTTTGTGCAAACAGATTGAGGTGAACATACAAGTCCTATACCTATATTTTGCGATATTCACAATAATAGTCAAAATATCCTCAATCCGTTCTACGACTTCACAAAAGATTGTGAATATTGAACTGAGACATACTGTATATCTATCTCAGCCTAACTATCTTAACCTAAAATTAACATTTATTACTTCGATAACAAAACGAATATATAAGAACGTAATTTTTGTTTGATAAATAGTAAATTTGAGTTGTCTTTTTCAAACGTTGTTGAAAATATGATACTGACAAGTAAATCTACTCAAAAGTTACACTCCGATTTCTTTCTAATTTGGCACAAATGTAGAAATACAAAAAATATTTAGATCATGTTTTTTCATTTTGGCCCACTTTCAGTTTCACGGTTTATAGCTTTTTAATGTTCTCACCCCTATTATCAACAAGTGCAATAAAAATGCATAAGAAAAAAAATTGAATACAAGATATAAGCGTTTTTGGTTTGCTAATTATGAATATAAAGTCAAATGTGTAAAATTATTTGTATAAATAATAAAATGTGTAAACAAAACATTTAAAAAGTTGAAAAAATTATTTATACAAATAATTTCTCCGTTTGGCCGAGATTCGAACCATTTTTAACTAATTTAAAATATTTCGGTTGGAACCTCGGCTAAAGAAATTTAGAATGGTTCGTGTCTCAGCTATGCCGATTTTATTGAAATTATTTAACTATATCTTGTATTCAATTTTATTTCTTATGCATTTTTGTTGTACTTGTTAATGATAGAAGTGAGAACATTAAAATCTATAAACTGCCCATGAAATTAAAAATGAACCAAAATGAAAAAATATGACCTAAATATTTTTTGTACCTCTACAAAAGAAAAAAAAGATTTGGTTGAATTAACCAAATATCTGATCGAATATGAATGATCCAGTAATTCCGATTGAAGTAACTAGAATTCTGTTTAACTCAACCAAAAATCTTGTTAACTTAAATAAAATTCGAGTTACTTCAATCGGAATTTCTGGATCGTTCATATACAACCAGATATTAATTCAATCAAACCTTTCTTTCCGTGTACATTTGTGCCAAATTAGAAAGAAATCAGAGTGTAACTTTTGGTACCTTTTTGGTAGGTTTACTTGCGAGCCTCACAATCTCCTTAACCGGGAGGAAACGGGACGGGCGGTCCGGGAAGTCCTTTCTCTCTCCTTTCGGAGTACACAAATGCAAGTACGTGCGTTACGTGGAAAAGTGCGAGCACGTGCGCGCGCGAATCAGCGAAATCTCTCCCCGCCAGATCGGTCGATTTGCTTCGCGGTGAAGGCACATGTGGGCGACTGCTGCATCCGTTGCACCGCCGACGAATCGAGGGGGCAACAACGTCGGCGTGGGCTCAATTACGCGTTAAACGTGCTTTTTCAGCGCGCGGGACGCGCAAACCAATGCACCGGAGAAAAGAGGGCCCGCATATACGAGACGACGACGACGACGGTGTTTCCGATCGCATCCGCCCGTACCATCGGGAAAAACGATACGAACGCGGCAGTAGTTTCAGTTCAGCAGCTCCCGTGGGCTCATTATCGTACGGGAGAGCGAGCAAACGAGCGCGTGAGTTATCGTTACGATAAGATCCGGATAGGAAGCGGATTAAAACTCGCACTAAGTCTCTTAATATTTTAATTAAGAGCGGCCTCTGGTTTGGATACGGAAACCGAAAAACGGAAGGTTTTCACGGATATATATATATATATATATATATATATATATATATATATTTTTTTTTTCTAAAGAAACGAATAAAGATTAATATAGGATTTTCATCACGTTCATCATTGTTTTAGATATAAAAATATTTTTTTTACTTAAATCCCGCTCAAGTATTTTTGTCGTGAGCGTGGTGTCGCCGGACGTCTCCTGGCGAACGACTATGTTAATATTGTTTTTCATTTCTGTAAAAAAAATTCGTCAAAACCTTCTATTTTTCAGTTATCTAAATTACAACTTTCCCTTAACTTAATTTCTATTTTTAACTTCTATCTTTTTTTTTTCAAAGAAACGCAGCAACACGCCGAATTGATCTTATTTCGAATCGCACTGAAAGAATAATGCTGTAAAATTTACCTATAAGAAAAATGTATGAAATTGAACTATCTTTATTTTGATTTTTCTGCGTTGAATTTATATTGATCATTTGTTAATGTTAAAATAACGCAATGTATTTGTATAACAAAAAGTAAATTCAAGGACACTTTGATTTTTCAACTATCAACATGTAACACCTTTAACTTGACGCTGAAGAAAGTGAAAAGAAAAATTTTGGACATCATTAGAGTCAAAGTAGGAGTAAATTGTATCATTAAAATTAAACCTGCTTTGCTAACTTAACTTCCACTGCGTTTAGAATTCAAGGTTTAACATAGGACCAAAATTTTGACTCGGGATGTTTTTGCAGCATTGTTCTTTATGCTCTTCTGCGCAGTGACTGAATTTTCTGAAGCGATCCTGCATGCACGACGGCGAGGAAACCCGCCCGAGTTCACCTGCCGCGATTCCGTCGTCAGCGCGGGGCTCGCATGGGAAAACATCGAGTTTTACTCGGACTGGGATCGCAGAGGCTTTAATTGCGCGCGGCCGGTTACGTCGTTCGAGTTTGACGGTTTGATCCAAGTTCGCAAACGGCCGCAAACTAATTTCACGTCTCTCTCCCGTGAGAAGGCCCTTTGTCCTCCTTCAACGAGTCAGCGCGAGTCATCTCGCGCGCGAAAACCTGACTGCGTCTCTCTCAGGATGCGGGAAACCTGCCTACTGTATTCTGTGTGAAACCACACGACGTTAATTCCATTATTGACGCCGGTCTTGACAATTAATCGTCGTGCCCGTCGCGACTGTATGTGCCGCGCGTTTCGCAATTTAAATACAATCGCGCGATTCCGCTGGACGGCGATGAAACGAGTGCGTGCGTGCGCGGCGCTTTTCAGCGATTAATATTACACCGCCGCCCACTCTTTTTAATCCATTAACGGCACGCCACTCGCGCGCTCGAGGCTCATTGTAATGTTAATGCCGCGATATCTTTCCGCGGCGTTCGACGCTTTTGACGCGACGTCCGTGCTGAGCGACCGCGATTGTCCGATTTCAACCGGGAATGAATATCACCGCCCGTCTTTCGCACTTCGGGACTGACTAATAATCGGCAATTGGTAGGATCGAGTCCCATTTGCAGCTAAGAGCGCTCATGCCTGGATGCAAAACGTACTCAACAACAATGAATACTAAATATTAGTACACTGTAAAAACCTGATGTGTTAAATTTAACACATTTCATGTGTTCCAAATCATCCACTTTCATTTATGTATAAATTTAACACAAAACAAATGTGTTAAAAAGTACCTTTAGGAATCACAAATTGTGTTAAATTGACATATTTAATATGTCATAGATTATGTCAATTTAACATTTTTATTTCATCAAAACCGTAGATTAATTAATACTTCTCTCAAATGTTAAAGTAACGTTTTTATTTTAGTTAATTTAACATTATACATGTCGATTTAACACAAACTGTGATTCCTGACAGTATTCAAGTGTTAAATTCTTGTGTTAATTTTTTACATATTATGCGTGTTACTTTGTACCACATTTGTCTTGTGTTAAATTTACACATAAATGAGAGTGGATGATTTGGGACACATAAAATGTTAAATTTAACACATTAGTTTTTACAGCGTACCAAATAATAGTACTGTTAGTGCTAAATAAGTACTGATAAATTTTACATTTGTAATCACACAACGGAGAACAACTTATCACCTTTTATTTAACAAAATCCTTGTTGTATGCAGTGTTATTGATGATATATTCCCTGTGCTGATTCAATCGGAAAGGTTTGTACTGATTCATTTGAAGAGAGTGGTATGCTTAAACATGTCTTCGATAAATTCGCGAGAGATCGCGATTGCATCTATGCATGCACCATCGCTGAGTGCGCGAGCGGTGTCTCGAGTTTCCAACGGCGATGCACGCCGGTTGCATCACATTGCACATTGCCTGCCACGACCTCCCACGTTTCACTCGAGAGCACGCGGCGGGAAATCGCAAGAGGAAAATCGGAGGCGAGCGAATGAAGTACGAACGAGTGAGCGAGTGAACGAACGAACCGACCAACCAACGAGCTAGCGATCGCGGGTGAGAACGAAAAACGCCCGTCAGTCGACCTGGAAAGGTTCCGGCGCGGAAAAAGAGTTTCCGGTGCGAACGAGCGCGCGCTCGCTCCAACGAGAGGCCCCGCGATTGTCCGCTTATGGTAATCGCGGAATACGCGCGCTCGTTCGTTTCCGTCGATACCCACCGGAAACGCCCGCCTTACTTCCGAAACCACTCGTTACTCCGCGACCTCCCGTGACCGTCGCGTTTTACGCGATTTAGCAAATCGCAGGGGACAAGTGGCGCACGAATATTTGATATCGGAATTATAATATCTTGTAGATACATGAGGTATGTTGAGATAAAAGAGTTCGAAACTTGCAGGATAAATAGCGCACTTCACTGAAAATTATAATAGCGAGCAACTCGTGTACAGCGGATTGCAAGGCGGTTTAGACACAACGGAGTTGAGAGCTCACTGAACTGTCAAAGTCGAGGGTCACTGATCATTGACGAGCTATCCAAAAATTATTAAGTACTATTATTATATTAATTATATTATTAAGTACTATAAATATAAAGTATTGTAAATTATACTATTAAGTATTATTATTATATTATTGGCTGTTATTATTATTTGTTATTGTGTTCAGTGCTCTTAATTATTATTGTTATTAATTACATTATTACTATGTAAATCTGTCAATAATGATTTTCAATTTTGACAATTTGGTGAGCTTCCAATTTCATTGTGTCTAAACTGTTTGACAACTCCCTGTACGTCAAGACCTAAAGTCGCTCTTAACTCCACAAGGGTTCAATTATTCGACTCGCGTTCGCCGAGTAGTGTTTATTCAGTTTAGTAAAAGAATACTATCTATCCTATATAATAATATAAGAATAGTATAATTTTGTAGTATAGAGTATATTTACATTGAACTATCGAGCTCTGTGTCACACACAATCTTTCAGGCCGTCAAAATTTCAGATTGCTCGTGAATCTGTGCGACTGCCTTGGTGGTCATTCATTAATGACATCTCGCGATTGCGCGATATCGATATCTTCGCGGGATATCGGCTCGCGTCAATTCAGTCGGCGACGTCAGTCGTCGGCGATTATCGCCTTACTCGGAAATCCAACTCGCGACGATGATTAACTGGCGACGACGGCGAGCGTATCTGTTCTTTACGGCGCGGGCATCGGTTTACGTAGCTTATTAACGAATAGATATCCGGTAGAGCGGGGGCGTAGCTCCCTCTCTCTTTCTCTCTCTGTCCGTCTATCTATCTATGTATCTATCTATCTATCTATCTATCTATCTATCTATCTATCTATCTCCTGTCCGGAAAAACGCGAATCGCACGCACGCGCGCGTGGGCACGCACGCGGGTTCCCACGCCGCCACTTGCGAAAGACGAGACTTCTCGCCGACGTGCTAGATATCGAAGGGAAACTGAGAGAGAAATTTATCTCGCCATCTCTCCGAGTGTCTGCTGCGCTTAACGAGTTGTACAATGGCAAATTGTGCCGAACCTTTCCATACTTTCGAGCGCGAGGTGATCGAGCCGCGCGATTAATGCCGAAAAGCGCGATCTCTCGAACGAGACGTCAGGAGTGATCGCATCGATTTCGCGCGCTCTCGGCGCATTTTTGTGGGAGATTTGAACAATTTTTCTTTCTCTCCGTCCTCTCCTCCCTCCGTCTCTTCCTCACCATCTCTCCCTCTCTCTCTCTCTCTCTCTCTCGCTCCCTCCCTCCCCTCCTCTCCTCTCTCTCTCTCTCTTCCTCGATGATCCCTTCGCGCGAATATTCTCTTTGAGTATCGATGCGCGGCATTTAGAACGCGCGCTATTAATGAGGACACTTTGTGACGCGCGCGTGACGCGGTGTTAAATGATAAAATCGCACGACGCAAACACCGCGCGAACAAAAGAAGTTCGCAGAAGAGGGGGGAGAAAGAGGAGAGGACTTGCTATCGATTCTTAGCTACTGATTCGACGAACCAGGTCCTATTGGTCTAGCTTTTCATTACGCGAAATACAAAGTTGATGAATGAGCGCTTTGGGGAATTAAGTGCTTAAGGGGATGCTGAAGCTGAAAACTTTACCGACAGAACACTCACATTTTTCCGCAAAGTTTACGTCGTATTGGTTACACAGAATTACAAGTGCTTTTACGCAATGAAAATACGTGCAAAGATAAATAGGAGCATTGCTCGATATGTGAACAAAAAAATTTTAATGTAAAATCTCAAGCTGTCAGCGTAATATTTGCCTAATCCAAAAATTTTGCAGCTTGTACATCCCGAAAGTGTGTATGCTCCAAACAGAAAAATTTTGAAGAACATTGTTCTACCTTCGCATCTACATTTGGAAGCTTAAAAATATCGAAAAAGTTTACAGAAAGATTTCTACACATATATGGGTAGGTTTTCCGTTGAATATGGTAAAACAAAGCAACACACATTCATATAACTTCTGTATATACAAGAAATACGAAAAAAATAGCGTGATTATGTTAGTGACGATCGTCTCTACATTATCGACATTGTTCGAGTTCGTCATCGACTCCAGCATCCCCT